CAGTGTTGGAGCATTCACAACTTCTGGAGGCAGGTTGTTCCACTGGTTAATTGTTCTAACTGTCAGGAAGTTTCTCCTTATTCTAGGTTCTGCTTCAGATACCATAAAGGAGAACAGGTCATGAAAAGGATGTATTGCATCCCAGACATATGTTATGTCCTGTATAGAAGGAACTGAACTTCCAATAATCTTTTCTGCCATCCTCACCACTCTCTGCACCACCTTCCTGTCTGAAGCAGTGAAGCTTCCAAACCAGACAGTAATGCAATATGACAGGATGCTCTTAATAATAATAATAATAATAATAATAATAATAATAATAATAACAATAATAGTAAAGTTGGAAGGGACCTTGGAGGTCATCTAGTCCAACCCCCTGCTCAGGCAGGAAACCCTACAACATTTCGGACAAATGGCTGTCCAGTCTCTTCTTAAAAACTTCCAGTGTTGGAGCATTTACTGCTTCTGGAGGAAGGCTGTTCCACTGATTAATTGTTCTCACTGTCAGGAAGTTTCTCCTTAGTTCTAGGTTGCTTCTCTCCTTGATTAGTTTCCACCCGTTGCTTCTTGTCCTGCCTTCAGGTGCTTTGGAAAATAGCTTGATTCCCTCTTCTTTATGGCAGCCCTTGAGATATTGGAATACTGCTATCATGTCTCCCTCATCCTTCCCTTCATTAAACTAGACATACCCAATTCCAGCAACCGTTCCTTATATGTTTTAGCCTCCAGTCCCCTAATCATCTTTGTTGCTCTTCTCTGTACTCTTTCTAGAGTCTCAACATCTTTTTTACATCGTGGTGACCAAAACTGGATGCAGTATTCCAAGTGTGGCCTTACTAAGTCATTGTAAAGTGGTATTAATACTTCACGTGATCTTGATTCTATCCCTCTGTTAATGCAGCCTAGCACTGTGTTGGCCTTTTTGGCAGCTGCAGCACACTGCTGGCTCATATTTAGGTGATTGTCTACTAGGACTCCGAGGTCCCTCTCACAGTTACTACTATTGAGCATGGTGCCACCTATGCTGTACTTGTGCATTTGGTTTTTCTTGCCTAAATGTAGAACCTTGCTTTTTTCACCATTGAATTTCATTTTGTTAGTTAGTGCCCAGTGTTCAAGTCTGTCCAGATCCTTCTGTATCTTAAGCCTGTCTTCTGGAGTGTTGGCTATTCCTGCCAGCTTGGTGTCGTCTGCAAATTTGATGAGTTCCCCATCTATCCCTTCATCCAAATCGTTGATGAAGATGTTGAAGAGCACTGGGCCCAGAACAGAGCCCTGGGGCACCCCACTACACACTTCCCTCCATGTAGATGTGGTTCCATTGAGGACCACTCGCTGAGTACGGCCGGTCAGCCAGCTACGGATCCATCTGTGGTAATTCTGTCTACCCCACATTTTTTCATCTTATCAAGTAGTAGGTTGTGATTTACTTTATCAAATGCCTTACTGAAGTCCAAGTAAATTATGTCCACAGCATTCCTCTGATCCACTAATTTTGTCACTTGGTCAAAGAATGCAATAAGATTTGTCTGGCATGATCTATTTTTGACAAACCCATGTTGGCTTTTAGTAATGACTTTCTTTGCCTCTAGGTGTTTGTTGATTCGTTGTTTGATTATCTTTTCCAGGATCTTCCCAAGTATTGAGGTCAGGCTGATAGGTCTGTAATTTCCTGGATCCATTTTTTTCCCCTTTTTTGAGGATGGGAACTACATCAGCTCTTTTCCAGTCCTCTGGTAGTTCCCCTGTGCTCCAGGATCTTTGAAAAATATAGTTCAGTGGTTCTGAGATCACATCTACCAGTTCCTTGAGAACCTTGGGGTATAATCCATCTGGTCCTGGCGATTTGAACTCATCTAGGCTGGACAGGTGCTCACTTACCATTTTCTTGCCTATCTTAACTTGTGTTTCTATTCTGTTTTTTATGGCACTATTTTTGATAGGTTAGTCTGTTTTTTCCCTTTGTGTAAAGACAGATGCAAAAAACGAGTTAAATAGTTCTGCTTTCACCCTGTTGCTTGTCACCGTCTTACCACTTTCACCCACAAATGGACCCATCATTTTCTTCACTTTTTTCTTGTTTTTTACATGTTGAAAGAAGCTTTTTTTGTTATTTTTGACTTTGGTCGCAAGCCTTAGTTCATTTTGAGCCTTGGCTTTCCTCACTTCATCTTTGCAAGCTCGGGGTATTTGCTGATATTCTGACTTAGTTATGTGCCCCTCTTTCCACTTTCTATACTTGTCCTTTTTATCTTTCAATTTGTCAGAGAGTTCTTTATGCAGCCATGCTGATTTTTTTTGAGAGCTGTTGTTTTTCCTCTTTGTTGGTATTGTGCTAGACTGTGCTTTTATTATCTCATTTTTCAAAATTTCTCAAGCTTCTTGAGTTGTTTTCCCCTTGAAGATTCTCATCCATGGAATCCTTCCCAAGCCCTCTCTAAGTTTATTGAAATTAGCTCTCTTGAAGTCCAAGACTCTAGTTTGACTGTGTTCTATTGTTTGTGCTTCCATAATGTTGAATTCTAATATTGCATGATCACTTCCTCCCAGGGTTCCTATGGCTTCAACACCTTCTATCATTTCATCTCTGTTAGTGAGAATTAGATCAAAAATGGCTAATCCCCTAGTTCCCTTCTCTACTTTTTGGGAGACAAAGTTGTCTGCTAGGTTTGCCAGGAACCTGTTTGATCTTCCACTTGGTGCAGAGTTTGTCTCCTAGTTGATGTCAGGGTAGTTAAAGTCCCCCATTACTATTGTGATATGCTTCCTACATACCTTAGTTGCTTCCTACATACCTTAGTTAGCTGACTAGCAAAAAGTTCATCTATTTCCCCTGTTTGGTTGGGTGGCCTGTAGTATACCCCTATGGCAATGTCATTTCCCCCCCCCCCTTTATATTGACCCAAATACATTCAAGACAATTTTTATCATTGTTGTGCTCTATTTCTGTAGAGATGTAGTTATTTCATATATAGAGAGCAACTCCACCTCCTCTTTTATTTGGTCTATTTCTTTTAAATTATTTAAATCCCTCTAGCTGTGTGTTCCATGTGTGGGTTTCATCCCACCATGTTTCCATAATGGCAACAATATCATATCTGCCCTCATTAACCTGAATTTCTAGTTCACCCTGTTTGCTGTTCATACTCTGTGCATTGGTGTATAAATATTTGAGTCCATGTTTGCCCAAAGAAGCAAAAATGTCTGTGTGTAAAAATGTTCTCCTGATTCCATTTATAACTTGAACATTTGTCACAGGTTGTCAATTTGAAAACACCGGATTGGTTTCTGAGGAAATCATTTCTCAATATTTACTTTATTGTTACTATTATGTATCTTTTTCTTCAATAATATCTCAATGTTTGTTCAATACATTTTGTCATCTGATAAATTAATTTATTCTGATGTCAATAATATACCCATCAGGTATTTTTGATAAATTAATAATATTATTTCAAATTTTCCCATATCTTATCTTATATGGACAGTGTTCAAAATTAAAATTTTCAAAATTTTTCAGTGTTTCAAAATAAAAGGGTTCTATAGAACTGCCACAATGAATCCTGCCCAAAAAATTGTCTGGGAACAGATCTGGATTTAAAATTGTATCAATAAACTTTTGGGTGGCCTATAATGAATTTTTATTTCACTAAAAATATAACACTATAAATATTTCCAGTTTTATCATTTTGAGTCCCTTAAATGATGTGAAATCAACCTGTGATGTACTATTCTACTCCATATTGAATCCTGGTAAGTGGATTTAATTGACAATTAAAGCTGGATTCTGTTCCATCTATTGAGAGATTGCTTTTTTTTCTTCTAGTGATAGAGAATGTGCAAAAATAATCTAAAGTTAAATTGACATTTACTGCTCAGTATCATTAATGGAGTGTTTGCTATCATCATCAGTATGAAAGAGCAGGTCCCATTTCCCACCTTCTCATTATTGACAATCCAGTTAATTGAACTGCACCTTAAAGGACAAATGGAACGAGTCCAAGCTTTATCAAACATTGGTATAAGTCATATAATAAATGCCCTAAATAAATCTTCTGAAATGTAGACAGGTAATCACTGGTAACTTGCTTGCTCAATGCCCTCTTAGTCCAAGCCCACAGACAAGTAAGCTGATGAAATATAAATTAAAAAAAGAGTAGAAAAAGTGTCTTCCTAGCAGAATGAAACCTGCAACTATAGCTGAGGTAAATGGGCTGTAGGGCTTGTTTTAATTTCTCCCAGTCAAAATTGCAGTGTGCCAGATACTAAAAAATTTAAAAGCCCTAGATTCCTGGAGCTTCACTTTATCATAGTCAGAGAAAACATAACCTCATGTGACTATAAATGCCTGCTTTTTATTAGCAAAGGTCCATTGATACTAATTGATAGGTGGAAGCATGGACCACCGTGGCCAGATTTCAGAGCTGGGAACATATTCAGAGGTAACACGTTGCAATCTTGGGGAGACTCACAGAAAGCATTCACTTTATGAAGTTCCAAGTATTGCAAGATTACTGGAATTGAACCTATGAAAATGATTAACAGATATATTCTTTTCATTTCAATTTATATATATTGGGATGAGGAAAGCAGCTGGATGAGCTATCTGAATGTTTGTCAGCAACATTAAAGTACTCTATATGTAATAGACCAGTATTCACTTTTGCATGTCTACAATGTGATGGAACTAAAACCCCTTCCTGAGTTATGGAGTCTACAAAATCAAGTCCATGAAAACAGCTTCTTTGGAGTTTATCTGGAACATGGTCCTCCTGATCACCCATTCATAAGAATATGGATTTGGAAAGCCTTCTCTCACCTGAAGCTGGCCAGATATGATAATTGGTAATCTTATAGGTTCAGCATTGCTGCGTAATCCCAGTTTTGTGATCAGGGAACAAAGAGAAGGTGTTCTCTTGTAATTCTAGGCTTCAGCTGTTTCTTATGAAATTGATGATTAGGAAACACAAAACAGATAATAGAAGCATTTGTTTGCATACCTTGAATTTATGGAATGAGATCCAGAGATGGTCTTCCACTTTGTTGATCTGGGTAAGTAATTAGACAAATTCATAAGTCACCAAGGAACATTTATATTAGTAGGTAGTAAATTATTGAACACTAGTTGCTATGAAGAAACAGCTTGATAGACATATTACTTTCAAACAATTTGAGAAGTAGGATGCTACTCTAAACCTTTGTTTGACCTGATATAATGAGGCTTATTCCTATGGTTCATTTTAATGGCAATATTTTTTTAAGGTGCTGGTGACACAGGACAGAACAGTAATATAAAGCATCAAATCAACAGGACATGGGTTATGAGTCACCATTTATAAAATGATATAAAAATATAAGTAAATAAATGAGTGAAACCATCTTAGGATGCATTACAATGATTGATATGAATAAGATCCGGAAAAGCAGAGATACTGATGTAAATACAAAAAGGAGGCTAGTTAGAACAATAGTCTTCCCTATAATGATGTATTGGTTTGAGAGTTGAACACTAAGAACAGCTGATCAAAGAAGAATTAACCTTTGAACTATGGTGCTGGTGTAAATTATTATACCATGGACAGCCAGAACAACCAAGGGAGAGATGCTGAATTGTATAAAACTGGAAACTAGAAGCCACAATCACAAGACTACATCTGATTTATTTTGACCATGTCATGCATGCAAATTTATTGGAGAAGTCAATGATACTAGAAATGGTTAGTGGATCAAGAAGAAGTGGCAAGCAAAGAACTTGCTGGCTAGATATCATCAAACCTGATACAAAGATGAACATCCAACAACTGAAAAAAGCTGTGCTTGATAGGTAGCATGGTGAGCACTTGCCTGTAAAATCACCAAGAGTTGGACACGACTTAATGGTGGAGAATGAATGATAATTAAAATTGAAGGTAGTAAGTAAATTTAAGATAGTAAATAAATGCATGTATAAAATATTATCTTTTTTGGTAGTCTCTCCCTTATTAGGCAGATTCTCTTCAGTCTTCCTCTAAATGAAGCTTATTTGGTAACTTCATTTGTAGTTTATTATTTAATTTTCTGATGATCGAAATGTTCAATTTCTAAAATTTTACAGGTAACCCTTGATTTATGACCATAATGGAGCCTCATCATCATGATCATAAGTTGTAATGGTTATAAATTGGGTCACCCACATGACTAATCCCATTTTGTGACTTTTTTTGGGTGGCTGTTATGACAGCAGTCATAAAATAGCTGCCACTGTCATTAAGCAAACACTATGGTTGTTATGTGAACAAATGGTTTGTTATGGGCTGATTTTGCTGAAAACCAAAGGTAAATGCCTAGCATGTGATAGCAGGATATTGCAAATGGCTGTAAATGGGGGCAGGTTGCTGAGCACACAACATGTAGTCATGTGACTATTTGAATTCAACTGTCAAACTTCAGAACTGGACTGTAAGTACCCACAGGAGGTCTGTCATACTTTTGAACAATCACTAAGCAACCGGTTGCAAGTCAAGGACTACCTATACTTACTTTAAAATGTTATTTACTTTGGGATTTCTAATGAGATAACAGGTTGGGTATTATAGGTGCTCTTAAGATCTATAGTTCTGTGGAGTAGGAAGTTCCCAAGTAGAGGGAAATATTCCCAAGTTTAAAAAGTTGTATTTTTGTTTTGTTTTATTGACAGGTATCTCTCTCCCAGGTATCAAAATAGTATTGTGTTTATATGAGGGAATGGATAATTGCTTTAGTCTACAACTAACATATGGAAAACTGTGTTTTTCTCTTACTATACAGATGCATGTATCTGATTATGTACTGTTGTTTATAACTGAATATAGTAATATTTACATTAGATTTTTTCTTACTGCTATATTATGTATAATTGTTACAAAGTTTATATTCACCATCATTTTCTTTCATTTTTACCAATAGAAAAATAGTTTGAAACAATGAACATATGATTGAGTTTTTCTTTATATAGAAAAAGACCAGCAAATGGCAGTTATATTCTTCAACCACAAATTCCTAAGCAGAAAGAACTCAAATGTGGGGCTCAATGAGTACCACAAATACCGAATGGTCTTCCTTCCTGAAATTCATTCATTAATTGTGAATATTTGCATGAAACAGTTTTTAAATGTAAACCAGGTAAGGTGCCTAGAATTGTGTATTTTCCGAGCTGCTTCTTGTGATATCTCTTATGAGCCATTTGGAACAGTCTGAAAAGTGGCAATGGATTGTCCATCTTGAGGAATATTAGTTGGCACATGAGGCTGTCCAATCAGAAGTGGTTCGAGGTCATGCCAGTTAGTTACTATTCTGTTCAGGTGGATCTGGTTATACAAGAATGTAATTCTGTTTTCATGGCCAAACTATTCTCTGATTACCTTTAGGTTGATTAGATCACCAAGCTGTGGTTAGATGAACAAGCACTCTAGAGTTTGCTTTAGAAAGGAAATATCAGAAATGCTATTGATGGCTTGGAGGGTGTATAAAATACAAGAAAGAAAGAAAAGAAAAGTTAATAAAAGGGAAAACTCCCCCCTCCCACCAGCCATCTATTTCCCCCATGAATTGTTATTATTTGCAATATTGCTTATTTCCTGTACAGACAAATCCTATCTCTTTCACAGAGATTAAAGAATCTCAACCTCACAATAAAAAACAGCACAATTTAGGAAGGAACTGCAGCTGAAGCAACTGCTTCAATCTGCCAAATAATAGGGCTGACCCTGTATGGGGAAAAAAAAAAAACCCACAACAGTTTGATCTTCATAGCATGCTAGGGCACATCATTATCATGTTAAGGCCAATTTAGAGTTGCCCACAACTGCCTGTAGCTGTTGATGCATATGCTGTGAGGGGATTGATGGGTAAGCATAGATTGCAGACGGATGCAGATGGGCCAGTGTGCAAACCTCCCTAATTCCAGCTGCATGTTGTGCAGAGGTGTACATCCTATCTGCCGATTGGTTGATCCATCTTTCAGTTCTGTGCTTTGCTATTTGAATGCCCCCTAGCCAGAATGTTGCATTTACAGAAATATAAATGGAATGCCTAGGTAGCTGTCCCTGAACAACAGACAGTTGTTGTTGGCTTGCAGTATTGGAGAAGTCTGCCTGATCCTTTACACTGTGCTAATACTCACTGCATTGTGGCTTTGAGTGATTTAAAGCTGTCTCAGTTTGGGGGTGGCTTTCTGAGGATTAGCTGATGTTGTAGCTTTGAGGATGGCAACCAATTTGTCATTTATAGCAACATGTTTTGCTCTCTTTCTAAATGCAGAGTTGATTTCAACCATAGAATAGCAATAATTGCTTTCACAAAATTAAAAAAAAAAGAAATGAAGAACAATGTTGCCTAATTTTCCTGCCAAGAGAACAACAATAGAAAGACACAGGATAGGATGATAGCCATATTCTTTAATGCATAAGAAGCATTTTGTTTTCTGATGCAGGCAGCGCCCAAACAGATCCAATTCAGGCATCAAGAGTTTAGAGCATTTTCACACTGGGTGATTATTTTAAAGGTATCCGTTATAGATCTAATAGGTGTTAATGTGAATGTAAAGATGTTGCTAGGAAACTTGTGGGGAGCTAAATGAAGAAATGCTGCTAATAAAGGCACTGACAGAACAAAGATAAAATGTTTTCAGCTTTTCTGTAAAATTACATATGCAGCATTTAAACATTGATTTAGTTATTTAAACACATCCCCCTTACCTCCTTGGTGAGTCAGTGTTGAGCAGATGAGTGGGAACTGGGGAGACCCAAGTTCAAATTCCTGTTCAAATATCTGCTCATTGGGTGAGTTAGGGCTACTTGTTAACTTTTAACCCAACCTACTTTATGGCACTGTTTTTATGAGACAACAATGGGACAACCCCACCTATATTTTAGCTGTCTTGGATGTCTACATTTGATATGAATTATTAATGTAATAGTGTAATGTAATGACAACAATAACAGCATACATGCAATAACAACAAGGCTAATAACAATATAGCACTTCTGCTTGAGCTTTGTAGCCCACAATGGGATAGTCTCCATTCCCTCACTTCAAGAAATAGAAAGAGTAAGAATCATGTTATCTATTGAAGCTGTACTTTCCTATAGTTAGTAGGAAATGAAAGCATTGTGATATAATGACCAGATCCTTGGACAAGAATTGGAAACAGCCAGAATCAGATAACCCCCAAAACCTGAGACTGTTCTCTCATTTAGTGTAACCTAAGTTAATCTGAGGATTAAAATCAGGCTGGGTGGGACATGCCTCCTATCTTAGAAGATGAATAAAATAAGATAATTCAAAACTGCCTTTTGCAGTCATTATATTCAAAGAGGTTTACAAGTCGAGAACTCCAAAAGGCAGGTAAATTATATCCCTGCTACTGAGAGTATCCATTAAACAGCTTCTCAAACCTGGAATTGATGTAATCCTTACAAACAGGAGAGCATTGCTTAATGTGGTCTCCCCCCCCCCCCGACAGTTGGACTGGGGTAGTCCTTCTATGGCATAAATCCCTCTATGCACCAGGAGCTGTCATATTTGAATGAACCATAAATTAGCCATCCCGAGTGATAAAATTCTCTATTTGAAAGCATAGAGGTGTTGGTGCTAAGATCTTGGCTTAATTCCCACTTGAGTAATTATATTCTGCTTCCTTTTGCAGTTTCAACAGGATAGCATATTTTTCACTACCTGCCATAATGTCAGAAATTGTTTAAAGAAAAACCAGCCAGGGAAATTCTATGACAACAAAATAACTGAAAAAATGATGAGAAGCTAAAACAAAGAAAAATATTTTAAAACTTACTTAGAAACCACTGTAGCATGGTGGTTAGATTGCTATATTTCAACTGGGCAGAGAATTTCCATATAGCTGAAATCTGCATCATCAGCTATACTTCAGCTTAACTTAGTTCATAGACATAGCCATCTGTGCCTAACCATTTTGATTGTGATGTCACAATGGAATCTCTATCCTTTGCTACTTGTAATGGGTTGCACTCTTTGCTCTCCTTACTGCAGATGCCTATACTCACAGAATTCTTGTTAGGATTAAATTGGGAATGGGGTGAGCCTGGTATATTTTCTTTATAGAAGAACGATGATTAATAATTACATTTCAGAGGATGATTTATATTTTAGCACTTTTAAAAGTGCCATTATAGAAAAAATGTATATGTGTGTTTAGATATGTGCATGCAGTTCTATAGCACATATAAAAACATTTTGATATTTAAGTGTTTCATCTTCAAACACATTTAAAGGCAGGTAACATATGATTGATGAATATTGTCTATTGCATAAATTACATTATATGCTTGGGTTGTTAGTAGTTATTTATTTTCTGAGCATGAAGTATCTTCTTTGAAGGCTGTTTGTAGATGCAGAGCATTTTCCATTGGTCTGGATCTGGTCTGAGCAGGAACATTTAAAATGCAATATTTGAATCTAGTTTGAGCTGTACTGCATGCACTGTTTGTGATAGATGTGTACTTATACCCTTTGGCAGAGCCGAGCTTTGCCATTATTGTCACATATTATCCAAAGAATGTGTTTATAGTCCAAAATTAAATACAGAATTTCAGCACTTACATTCTCAGCAAGGAACAATTTGGATTTTGATCATATGTAGATATTTACTCTCTTATTAATTTAATTTTTATCTTGCCTTTTACCAGGAGTTCAAGGTGTGTATTTAGCACTCCAATTTTTCCCACTTCATGGCAACAAACTTAAATTGATACTGCCTGTCCCAAATCTATCCATCGTCCTTCTGTGGCTGAAGATTGATTTGAACCTGGTTCTTCTTGATTGTAGTTCAGCAAATTCTCATGTCTTCTGCTTCGTATTGCCCGCCTGATTGTTTCTTCTTTTTCTATTCATTTCAAATAATCTACAAATAGACAAATAAAAAGAGAAAGAGAAACTAATGCAGCCTTTTTTAAAAAAATAATAATTTTGTAGCTTCATAAAGTCAAGTAGCTGGTTTCTCTGAATCTAGCAGTGCCTGAAATGCCTGACAGGTAACTTTGCAATAATCTGTGTGTCTATATTCAAGTGTGACTTGGAGGAATGTGGCAAAGATGTTCATCCAGAAGCAAAGTATTCCTTTATAATTTATAAACACTTCATATAGTGTTAAAATTCTGCTCTGGACTTTGGAATATTGGGCAAATACTTACAGGAGACCTAGGAGCAGAATATGTATAAATATATTAATATATTAGTGCAATTTATTGCAGTTGCAGACAAGAAGCTTGAGAAAGTCCAGGTAATGATTTTCAATTAGTATTAATATTATTCAATCTTTCTTCTTGAATAATTTATTTTATGAACGTCAATACACTTTCTACTTTTAGAAATGGTCTCCTAAATTGTTAGAAATTATTTTTGATTATAAAAATAAATGAGGAAGTACTGATGAAGAAGCTCATTAAATCTAAATAGAAGAATTTGAATAAAGCTTGCATTGTAACTTTATTTTTCTGTATCATGGAGTGGCAGCATTTTCCCAAATGTTGGCAGGTTTCCATAGGAGAAACATCTGTGGTTCTCTAGTTTCTATACCAGTTATTAAATCAGAGTTGCTTCAGATTAGATCAATCTATTCTGGTCCATGTCAGTTTTGGAAATTTCTCTGTTCTCTTTTGTTTCCAAGTTTTCTATATCAGTCTGCCATTTTAAAAATCAAATATGCCGTTATGTAAACATATATTTTCCACAAAAATACATGCTGTACATATTTTATTGTAATACATAACCTTATGTGCACTTTGTTAATTAAAAATAAAATAAATTGCTACATTGGAGAAATGTGAAATTCAACAGGTCTGTACAAGGAAAGTACAAATTAGATAGGTCTGCTTTTAAACCAAACAACTACAGATATGATCTGGATATATGATATGATCTGGAAATGTTATAAAATTTGTGAAAGCTTCTGCTTTGAATTTCCAAAATGGAGAGAATTTATTCATGAAAAATTGTCCATGAAAGAAATACATATGGTCCAAGGACACATATTGCCAGTATCCTAATTTTTTCTTCTGCTGCTTTGCAGTAAATCAGTCTCCTATATTAAGGTGACCAACTTTTTTACAATGAAAAGGAGGACACAAATAAATTGAAGAAAAAAATATCATAAATAAAAGAAACATTTTATTCATTGCAACAATAATACAGAATACACTATAATATGATAAATGCATAATAAAAAACATTTGTAACAATAACATTTTATATTGTAATTATGCTTACATGCCGTGCCCCCGCCCGCAGTTGCCCCGCCAGCACTGCTGCCCGGCCGTGTAGAGCGGGCCCCGTAGCTCCCAAAGCACCAGCTGTGCCGGCTCTGGCCCCACTTGCCGTCGACACACCCCACTTGCAGCTGCCCCGCCAGCACCACTGCCCACCCTGCACAGCCCTGTGTAGAGCAGGCCCCGCAGCTCTCACAGCACGGGCGGCAGCCGGCCGCCGCCACCCCTCACACCCCTGCCCACAGCAGCCCCACTGCCCCTGCCTCTTATGCCCGCAGCCATTATTGCCCTAGCAGGGCCGAAGATCAAGAGAAAGTTACCATGGCATTGCCGCTCCAGTTTCCTCCAGGTATCTTTGGGACTAACTAGGAGGTGGTGTAGTTGGGTAGCAGGGAGGGGTGCAAAGTTCCTGCCAATTCGCCTTCGCTGCAGACAACTTACATGTGCAAAGTTTGCCAGCCGGGTGTTTTGGCGTGCTCAGCAGCAATTCCTATTGGCTTTCGAAAGCCAATAGGGGGAGTAGCACAGCTCATGCAAAAGCTGAAAAAAAAACCATCAAAAAAAGGTACTGGAACGCTGTTCTGAGAGTTCTATGAGAAAAAAAAGCTCTGCAGATTAGTCTTCCAATATCAAAAAGGACATGTAGGAGGACACTTTTTGAGGGAGGACAGAACTTAAAAAAGGAGGACGGTTGGTCACCTTACCTATATGGACTTTAGAGATACTTTCAGAATATGAGTTGCTTGTTCATGTAGTGACAAAAAAAAACAACTTGATTTGACATTAATTCCATGAATTCCATTAATATGCACAATTAAAATAACAGGATGACCACAGAAGATAAAGAGAATTTAGTCTTTTCTCTTTGGTCATAGGTAAAAGCCAAGGTTATTTTTTTTACCAATAGGGTTAGTCTCACAAAACCTCATGGAGAAGAACTTTGTTGAGCAAGTTATCTTTATTTGGATTATTGTCTTCCTTTTTACTCTTAATAAGATAGGACTGAACTCAATTTCTTGCTATTTATATTTATAGTTTTTCAAATAATGCATATAATTATTGTTTTAATTTTACTAGGAATTATTTTAGGTTCTTTTAAGTTAGGATTTAAAAGTTGTTATATTTTATAGATTTTAAGTTTATTTTTATTCATACTTATTAATTGTATAGTTCTGAATCTTCACAGGTAAGTTTTAGTATAAATATTATAAAATGTTATAGATCATAGATTCATTCATGTACAGGTAGTCCTCGAGTTACAAGTGTAATGGAGCCTGCACATTCCACTGGTAACTCGAAAATTCATGGGAGTGAATCTTGTAACTTGAACAAGATCACTCCCTTGCTTGTTAAGACACACACAGCTTGTTAAGTGCACATGAGGTATCTCAGGGTGTGCAAGGCCATGGGGGACCTAGTGATAAAACAGGCCCCCCAAGGCTTCCCTGACCACTAAGATATCTCATGCTTCCCCCTCCCTCCCTGCCATGCCGGACTCACTTACCTTGCAAAAATGCTCTCTGCTGCAGTTTCTTTCCCTTTGTGGTAGAGGAGAATCAGCTTGGAAATGCTTTTCGTGCCAACAATGGAAGCTCCTGGGTGCTGTGATATCGTGCAAGTTCAAAAGAGATCATGGCCTCCAGAAGCTTCCATTCTTGGGTGGAGTGTTTGCTTCATTTGCTTTGCCTATGGAGGCAAAGGGTGGAATCGGAGTCAGCCAGGCACAGGAACCAATGCCTGATTGCACTTCTCGGTCACATGTGCTGGCCTTAGTTTTAAGGCAGGAACAAAGCCGCTGCTGGGGACCCTAAAAAGACTCAAAAATCACCCTGGAGAGGCAATGAAGGAAGGGACCCTTGTTGATCACAGAGGGGTGGTGTCCCCTGTGTTTGATCTGAAGAAGCCCTCCAAACTGATGGGGACTGGCTACACTTCTGTGGCCACTCAGAACCTGCTGACAGACAAAGAAAATAAGCATTAATGAGCAACTTTTGAGCAACTGGATGGAATTGGGTGAGACTATATCCTCTCTTTATGATTTTAAGACTTTTTCCTGGAAAAAAATACCCAAAGCAAAGAATCCTCCTCAATGAGAGAGGAAAGGGGAATGTCCGCCCCATTCCCTCAGGAAAAAAAAGCAGTGAACTAATTGATTGGCGGAAAACAGAAAATCAGAAAATTTTCAGATTATAATCAAACAATGAATCAGTGAACACCTAGAGGCAAACGAAGTCATTACTAAAAGCCAACATGGGTTTGTCAAAAACAGGTCATGGCAGACAAATCTTATTGCATTCTTTGACCAAGTGATAAAATTAGTGGATTAAAGGAATGCTGTGGATATAATTTACTTGGACTTCAGTAAGGCATTTGATAAAATAAGATACTACTTGATAAGATAGAAAAATGTGGGTTAGACAGCATCACCACCAGATGGATTCATAGCTGGCTGACCAGTCCTCAGTGGAACTGCATCTACATGGAGGGAAGTGTGTAGTGGGGTGCTCCAAGACACTGTTCTAGGCCCAGTGCTCTCTAACATCTTCATCAACAATTTGGACAAGGGGATAGATGGGGAACTCATCAAATTTGCAGACGACACCAAGCTGGCAGGAATAGCCAACACTCCAGAAGACAGGCTTAAGATACAGGAGGATCTGGACAGACTTGAACACTGGGCG